GTGGAGTTAGGGGAAAATAGACTTGATATTTGGGAGTTGCAGTTGCTGGGATTTATAGTTCACCTATAATCAAATAGCATCCTGAACTCCACCAATGATGGAATTGAACCAAACCTGGAACAGAACTCCCATGACCAAGAGATAATACTGGAAGGGTTTGGTGGGTATTGACCTTGAATTCGGGAGTTGTAGTTCCTCTACATCCAGAGAGCACTGTGGACTCAAACAAATATGGATCTGGCATAAATACCCAATATGCCCAAATGTGAACACTGGTGGAGTTAGGGGAAAATAGACCTTGACATTTGGGAATTGTAGTTGTTGGAATTTATAGTTTACCTATAATCAAAGAGACTCAAAATGCCCAAATAGGAACACTGGTGGAGTTTGGGGAAAATAGACTTGATATTTGGGAGTTGTCGTTGCTGAGATTTATAGTTCACCTACAATCAAAGAGCATTCTGAACTCCACCAATGATGGAATTGAACCAAACCTGGCACATAGAACTCCCATGAGCAACAGAAAACACTGGAAGGGTCCAATGGGCATTGACCTTGAGTTTTGGAGTTGTAGTTCACCTAAGTCCAGAGAGGTTTGTGGACTCAAACAATGATGGATCTGGACCAAACTCGGCATGAATATCCGATATGCCCAAATGTGAACACTGGTGGAGTTTGGGGAAAATCAACCTTGACATTTGGGAATTGTAGTTGCTGGAATTTATAGTTTACCTATAATCAAAGAACATTATGAACCCCGCCATTGATAGAATTGGGTCAAATTTCTCACACAGAACCCCTAAACCTTGAAGGGACTTGTTGGTGCGCACCTCCCTCCAGCCTCGGGTGCTCTCCGTGCCACACTGGGGGAGTTTGGGGAAGCATATATTTCGGATGCTCTTAGGAGCCCCTTTGGCAGAGGAGGCTGAAGATCTCTCCGCCTGTCCTTCTCTTCCTTTATGGAAACAGACTGCAAAAGCTCCCACCAAAAGCCCTCCTACAATGTGATTGGCCAGCCTCTCGGCCAAGGGGAAGGCTGTTTGAGACTCCAAGTAGGGAGGGGAGAGCATGGCAACGTGGTGCGCATGTGCGGGCAAGGGAGAGCGGGCAAGGCTGGAGGGAGGCATGCGCCAGCGAGTACCTTCAAGGCAAGGGAGTTCTGTGTGTCAAGTTTGGCCCAATTCTATCATTGGTGGGGTTCAGAATGCGCTTTGATTGTAGGTGAACTATAAATCCCAGGTTGAGAACCGCTGCTCTAAATCAGTGTTTCTCAACCTTCCTAATGCCGCGACCCCTTAATACAGTTCCTCATGTTGTGGTGACCCCCAACCCTAAAATTATTTTCGTTGCTACTTCATAACTGGCATTTTGCTACTCTTATGAATCGTCATGTAAATATCTGATAAGCAGGATGTATTTTCAATCTCTGGACATTGGGAGTTATAGTTGCTGGGATTTATAGTTCACCTACAATCAAAGAGCATTCTGATCTCCACCAGAGATAGAATTGACCCAAACTTGGCACACAGAACGCCCATGACCAGCACAAAATAATGAAAGGGTTAGATGAGCATTGGCCTTGAGTTTGGGAGTTGTAGTTCATCTATCTCCAGGAAGCACTGTGGACTCAAACAATGATAGATCTGGACTAAACTTGGCGCAAATATTCAATATGCTCAAATGTGAACACTGGTGGAGTTTGGGGATAATAGACCACGATATTTGAGAGTTATGGTTGCTGGGATTTATAGTTCACCTACAATCAAAGAGCATTCTGATCTCCACCAGAGATAGAATTGATCCAAACTTGGCACACAGAACTCCCATGACCAGCACAAAATAATGAAAGGGTTAGGTGAGCATTGGCCTTGAGTTTGGGAGTTGTAGTTCATCTATCTCCAGGAAGCACTGTGGACTCGGACAATGATAGATCTGGACTAAACTTGGCGCAAATACTCAATATGCTCAAATGTGAACACTGGTGGAGTTTGGGGATAATAGACCTTGATATTTGAGAGTTATGGTTGCTGGGATTTATAGTTCACCTACAATCAGAGAGCATTCTGAACCTTACCAATGATAGAATTGGGCCAGACTTCCCACACAGATCTCCCATGACCAGCAGAAAATACTGTGTATCCTGCTGGAGTTTTGCGACCCCTCTGACACCCCGTCGCGACCCCCCCAGGGGTCCCGACCCCCAGGTTGAGAACCACTGCTCTAAATAGTGATTTCTATACAGGAAGCTGGCATTTCATTCTATTGTGTGCATAGCTTACTGTGGAAAAAAAAAACACACCTTTTTTAGGTCACACTATTCCCCTTTCAGCAGTAAGGCATACGAATTCATTCCGAAATATTGGATGGGCCTTTTAAAGAAATCCAGAATGTAGATCGAACAATGGTTGGCAAACAGCAGGAAGCGCAGCATGGAAGAAAATATATACTTTTGCATGAAGTACAATATATATTGGCAAAGGCTGGTTTTTGCCTAGTATTTGTCGACAGTTGCCCGACTTTCAGGATCTTAGATGGGCCGTTTCGGGATATTGTTGGGCTGCAACTCCCATCAGTGGCAATGCTAAAATATCTCAAGAGGCCCCAATGGCCTGCCGGTAAATTAAAATACAGTAGGGTCTCGCTTATCCAACATAAATGGGATGGCAGAATGTCGGATAAATGAAAATGTCGGATAATATGGAGTCTCCTACTGTTACCCGTCCGACATGGCACTAGACACCTAGAATACTAGTGGAGCGCTCCTTTAATTGAAGGGGAAATGCTGGAGGAAAAGAGGGTGTCGGATAAGACGGAATGTCGGATAAGCAAGACTCTACTGAGTAGCATCTTAATTATCCGACATAAATGGGTTGGCAGAACATTGGATAAACAAAAATGTCAGATAATATGGAGTTTCCTACTGTTACTCATCCGACGCGGCACTAGACACCTAGAATACTACTAAAGCGCTCCTTTAATTGAAGGGGAAATGCTGGAGAAAAAGGGGGTGTTGGATAAGACAGAATGTCGGATAAGCGAAGGTCAGATAAGCAAGACTCTACTGAGTAGCATCTTGATTATCCGACATAAATGGGTTGGCAGAACATTGGATAAACAAAAATGTCAGATAATATGGAGTTTCCTACTGTTACTCATCCGACGTAGAACTAGACACCTTGAATACTAGAGGAGCGCTCCTTTAATTGAAGGGGAAATGCTGGAGGAAAAGGGGGTGTTGGATAAGACAGAATGTCGGATAAGCGAAAGTCGGATAAGCAAGACTCCACTGAGTAGCGTCTTGCTTATCCGACATAAACGGGCCGGCAGAACATTGGATAACCAAAAATGTCGGATAATATGGAGTCTCCTATCGTTACCCATCTGACGTGGAACTAGACATCTAAAATACTAAGGGAGCACTCCTTTAGTTGAAGGGGAAATGCTGGAAGAAAAGGGGGTGTCGGATAAGAGTGTCGGATAAGACGGAATGTCGGATAAGCGAAGGTCGGATAAGCAAGACTCTACTTAGACTCTACGCATGCTGTTGCCGTTTGATGCATATCTGGCTTCTCTTACCCATGCCATTGTCCTTGTTTTGCTCATGGTGTAACTTCCCATCTTCTGGTCACAGAAGTCTACAAGTGCAGCCCTTGCAAATGGGAGTTGTGCACATTTGGGTGATTAATGGTTGTCTTCAAAATACCACCTCATTCATAAGACCTGCCGAAATATCTAACTCATTTGATGCACCGGGTTGCACCATGATGCCATTCAATAGGCAGAGCAACCTTATGTGAGTGTACATTTGCACTATGTAAGCATCATGGAAGCTATTGCCCATTTTGGAAGGCGGGGGATAGGAAAACTGTACTGCAATATAGAGCAATATTCCTCCCTACACACACACACAATGTCTCTTCTTTTTGACTGAAGAGACACACGTGATTCATGTGTCGGACTACAAATCCCATCTCTGCAGAGAAACATTGCCCTACAAGCAGAAGCGGCCCTAGGTAATTTTCAACGGTAAGCAAACAGTATTTTGGCACACACACCCCCCCCAACCAATCACTGATATATATTTTCTGTTCATCGTGGGAGTTCTGTGTGCCATATTTGGTTCAATTCCATCATTGGTGGAGTTCAGAATGCTCTTTGATTGTAGGTGAACTATACATCCCAGTAACTACACTTGCCGCACTTGCTCCCTTGCCTGGCACGAGACCCCGGCGTGTGCACCAAAAGTCACCTCTTCTCCTGACTTTCTCCTCAGCCATTGGGACCAAGAGAGAGAGAGAGAGAGAGGTGGAGATGCCCACCTTTCCTGAAGGTAGGCGCAAAAACAAAGGAGAGAGCGGAGGTGGGAGATACCTCCAGCCGGAGGGGCTCTCTCTCTCTCTCTCTCTCTCTCTTGGTCCCAATGGCGGAAGAGAAAGTCAGGAGAAGAGGCGACTTTTGGTGCGCACGCTGGGGTCTTCAGATACGCCTCTGGACCTGAAGCGGGCCAGGTGTGCACTCTGGGGTCTTCAGACACGCCTCTGGACCCGAAGCGGGCCAGGTGCGACGGCTCCACCCCTTGGCCCACCCGCGGATTGGGGAGAGGAGGCAGGTGGAGCGCCGGGGGATCGGGAAAGGGAGCCGGTCATGGGGAAGGGATCGAACGCGGAGAACGATTGAGCGCCGGCTCTGCTCGCGCACCTGGTGGCCAGGTGGAGCAGGAACGAGAGGGGCTAGGCGAGGCTCAAGGGCTCGGCCCCTTTGGGAAGAGGCAAGAAAGCCGATGCTCCCCCCGGACTGCTAGGGCTGTTGTGAGTTGAGGGGGTGCTCCTCAAGTTGCAGTCGAGGGGCATTTACAGAGGCGCCTCTGCGCCCCTGGCAAAAAAATGTGTTCTGCGACTGCTTACTTCGCGTAATGGACGAGCCGCCCCTGCCTACAAGCTGGAGATGATGAGAGTTGTAGGCAGCTTTTTAGGGGAATCGTTCAAAGAATGTCCAGCCCATATCCTTCTTTGTCTATTCAAGATTTATGGTATCTATACGAAACATTTGACCGCCTCCATCCTCAAGGAGAACGCCAAAGCATCTTTCAGCAACGAAGAAGGAAACAACCAGCAAACAACATGAATAACATCAACAGCCCCAATGGGAACAATAGGAGCGAGAGGAAAAGTGTATCATATAGGCAGGCTATTGCATTGGCTATTTTGACTACTCGTATGTATATAAAATATTTCTTTCCTCTTTGAACAAATGGAACCAAATCCTATCAACTTGTGCAGCTGTTTTCTTTCCGTGAAGCTTGCTGTGATATGCAAAGGCGGGTTTGAGGGTGGGAGGCTAATCCATAAAACAAGGGCGTCATTGCATTAAAAAGTCTTGGCTGACATTCTGTACTGCAGTTACGGATTTCCATTTGCTCTGTACTTAGCAAGCATATTATACAGTCTTGCTGTAAGAATACTTAAATACCCCCACAGTCCACCTTAAGAGCCAGCACTTGGATTGGGCAAAGAAGTCTATTCATCCAGGAAAGTCCACCTTAAGAACTAGAGGTTGGATTGGGCAAAGGAAGTCTATTCGTTCTGAAAAGTCCACCTTAAGAGCCAGCAACTGGGTTGGAGAAAGGAAGTATATTCATCCCTAAAAGCGCACCATAAGAACCAGCAGTTGGATTGGGTAAAGGAATTCTGTTGTTTATTCGTTCAGTCGCTTCCGACTCTTCATGACCTCATGGACCAGCCCATGCCACAGCTCCCTGTCGGCTATCTCCACCCCCAGCTCCTTCAGAGTCAAGCCAATCTATTCATCCTGGAAAGCCACTTTAAGAACCAGCAGTTGGATAGGGAGAAAACTCCATATGGCTCTAAAACGTCAACCTTAAGAACCAGCAGTTGGATTGGGCAAAGGAAGTCTATTCGTTCTGAAAAGTCCACCTTAAGAGCAAGCAGTTGGATTGGGTAAAGGAAGTCTATTCGTTCTGAAATGTCCACCATAAGAGCCAGCAACTGGGTTGGACAAAGAAAGTATAGTCATCCCAAAAAGCGCACCTTCAGAACCAGCAGTTGGATTGGGCAAAGGAAGTCTATTCATCCAGGAAAGTCCACCTTACGAACCAGCAGCTGGATTGGGCAAAGGAAGTCTATTAGTGCTGGAAAGCTCACCTCAAGAGCCAGCAGCTGGGTTGGGCAAAGGAACTCCATTTGGCCCTAAAAGTCAACCTTAAGAACCAGCAGTTGGATTGGGCAAAGGAAGTCTATTCGTTCTGAAATGTCCACCTTAAGAGCCAGCAACTGGGTTGGACAAAGGAAGTATAGTCATCCCGAAAAGCGCACCTGAAGAACCAGCAGTTGGATTGGGCAAAGGAAGCCTATTCATCCTGAAAGTCCACCTTAAGAACCAGCAGTTGGATTGAGCAAAGGAAGTATATTAGTGCTGGAAAGCCCACCTCAAGAGCCAGCAGTTGGATTGGGCAAAGGAAGTCTATTCGTTCTGAAATGTCCACCTTAAGAGCCAGCAACTGGGTTGAACAAAGGAAGTATAGTCATCCCTAGAAGCGCACCTTCAGAACCAGCAGTTGGATTGGGCAAAGGAAGTCTATTCATCCAGGAAAGTCCACCTTAAGAGCCAGCAGTTGGATTGGGCAAAGGAAGCATATTAGTGCTGGAAAGTCCACCTCAAGAGCCAGTAGTTGGATTGGGCAAAGAAAGTCTATTCGTTCTGAAATGTCCACCTTAAGAGCCAGCAACTGGGTTGGACAAAGGAAGTATAGTCATCCCTAAAAGCGCACCTGAAGAACCAGCAGTTGGATTGGGCAAAGGAAGTATATTCATCCAAGAAAGTCCACCTCAAGAACCAGCAGTTGGATTGGGCAAAGGAAGTATATTAGTGCTGGAAAGCCCACCTCAAGAGCCAGCAGTTGGTTTGGGCAAAGGAACTCCATTCAGCCCTAAAAGTTGACCTTACGAGCCAGCAGTTGGTTTGGGCAAAGGAACTCCATTTGGCCCTGAAAGTCAACCTTAATAACCAACAGTTGGGTTGGGCAAAAGAAGTCTATTCATCCAGAAAAGCCCACCTTAAGGGCCAGCAACTGGATTGGGCAAAAGAAGTCCATTTGGCCCTAAAAGCCCACCTTAATAACCAGCAGTTGGATTGGGCAAAGGAAGTCTATTCATCCTGAAAGGCCCATCTTAAGAGCCAACAGTTGGATTAGGGAAAGGAAATGTATTTGGCGCTAAAAGACCACCTTAAGAGCCAGCAGTTGAATTGGGTAAGGGAAGTCTATAATTAAACTGCTTGTCTAGAACATCAGTCTACGTTTTTAGAAGGCCAGGGATTCATTGGGTCTTCTTGGCGACAGCTAGTGTGGATCCCAACCGTTCCATGGCCATTATGGTTAGTGGATTCTGAGTCAATGGGTTGGTGATTGAGTCTCGATGTCAAGGCTCTGCACCTCTCGGGGTGGGGGTGGGATAAGGTCCATCTCCCTTGAAGACGTCCTTCAACATTTAGACAAAAAACCCAACCTCACTAACGTAAGAGGCACCAAATGCCACTGCGAGGAGCTGTGGAATAAATCCACCCAAAACAATGAGACAAGAAACTCAGAGAGACGAAAACAAGCAAAAGAGACGGAATTGCTAAATCCGGAATTGCTGACGTTTGGTCCACTAGGAAAATATGGTGGCAGGCAGTTCTAGTTGAGCCAATCCTTTCTGGCATCGACTCATTTCTACCCTTCTGGTTACTCTGAGGCACTTAACAAACAAGGGCTAGTTTTTCCTCTTCGAAGCGAAGAATATAATATATCCCCCGAAGGCTAAAGATGGCCATTAGGGTAGGTTTTGGTCCCTAAACCACGATGCACACAAGTTTCAAAAGACACTACGGAGCAAGAAGTAAAAATGCGTACAAACACACACAGAGACACCAGGAAATAGTAGTTGGTAGAGGTCACCTTGCTTCAGTTTTAGGTTCTTCTTGGACATGTTATATTATCTACTCAACCCTTCTCCGACCAAGTATTGTGTCTTAGCAGATGGATGCTATGGACTCACAGCCTACATAGGATTTGAGAAGAGACAGAGATCAGCTCCGTTCCTCCAAAAGCCAGGAAGATTTGGACATCTGATGACCCTTTCTACTGACACACTTCCATGTAGGAACCCTATGATCGTGAAATTATGAGCCAAGACAGAGCTTGGAGCCTTTACCTTTCGAGGGACTACAACTCCCACAAGTTACCATCCAGTGGATTATGGGAGATGTAGTGCCCGCCCCCGAAAACATTTAAGTAAGTAGGTACGACAATTCAAAGATGGCCGTGACAACATCCATGATGAGGACCGCTCCGGTCGCCCTTCTTTGATTACAGTGAACTCTTGGTTATCGGAGCAATGCGTAAGTGGGTACGACAATTCAAAGATGGCCATGACTTGAGAAGATCCGTTGAGGATTGCGAGACTTCGCGGCCCACCTCCGAAAACATTTGGGAGCGGACCGCAAAGTCTCGCAATCCTCAACGGATCTTCTCAAGTCTTGCCAATTCAATGCAATCATGGTTTCCTTGTCTACACCACCTAGACTAGCCCTATGGCAGTGGTTCTCAACCTTTCTAACACTGTGACCCCTAAATATTAGGCTTGGTTAATCCAGTTCGTTAATTTCTTATCTCGTTATTAATTCGTGAAATAATGACTTTTAGAAGCAATATCGACGCATTTTGGCAACCCGGAAGTGTTTTTGCCATATCGAAGTCGCGTCCGCCATCTTCCTTACGACTTCCGCCAGTGAATCGTAAATGCTGGGGGTGTGGCCTTTAGGAACAGCTGTTCTTACCCACGCCCACCTCCTTCCTCTTTGCATCGGCCGTTTTGCGAGGTGGGCGTGGCTACCTCCCTGGCGACAAGTGGCGATGCGGAAGAGCTGGGCGTAGCTACGCCCACCTCGCAAAGCCGCCGATGCAAAGATGTGGGCCAAAGAACTTGGGGACAGGGCCAAAGGAGGCAGCCTCGTGACCCCTCCAAAATGGCCAAACGACCCCCTTGGTGGTCGTGACCCCCAGGTTGAGAACCGCTGCCCTATGGAATCAATGAGACTCCAGCATATATGGAAGAACTATAGATCAAAATGACCTACTCTAGGCGGGAGCGAAAACTGGATTTTGGTCTCTGAAATACTAAACTTATCAGGTTGAAGTCGATAATACTTTGAGGCAGGCCCTATTGTATCTGGAAGAGGTGCTCAATCGGGCGGTAAAAGACATAGGTCTATGCTAGCACATCCTTTTCCGAAGCCGAATGTTGCGTTTTGCAAAACACAGCTTTAACCTGGAAGCCCGGCCACTACAAAGACAGGAAAACACCCCACTCAAAGGGGGAAATGTTGAGTTTGGCCTTTCAAATAAGGAGCACAAAATATCATCCCAGTTTCTATGTGTTGCACATACACTATTGAGTTGTTGGCTTTCTTTCCATGGCAGTAAATTTTTGAGCCTCTGACACTGAGCTATCCTCATCTGGGGTTAGTAGAAATACCACAGTCTCGATCAGGAAAAAGACCCCATGTTTATCAACAGTTTAGGTGGAAGATGTCTCAGAGATCTTCCACCGAAATTGTCTAAGGGCGCTTCCAGACAGCACTAAATCACGGGGGCAAAAAATCCCGGGACTTCAGAAGAGGTCCGTATACAGACCTATTGGACCTGGGATTTCTGCCTCCATTGTCTAAACTTGATGCTTTGTTGTGAGATTTAGAGACTCCCAAGATGGCCACCACAGGTTCTGCTGGAAACCTCGAAATACGGAAATGCGGAGATTCAGATATGCAGATCACTGCAAAAGTTCTGTGCCCTACAGATGTTTCATAACGTATCTGCCACACAAACAAACCTAATGGGGTAGGACCACTTCTGCCCAAGTTAGAACTGCACAATCAAACAGGAACACACACTTTGTCATTATTGACACTTTTCAGAGCCTAGCTGCCTGGCCATCTGTCCAGACAGATTTGGTTGTATACTTTGTGGCATCCAACAACAGGGTGCTGTTCCTGGGTTATACGAGGGGTATTTTTTAAGTAAGGTCCGTTTTGTTGTAGACACTAGTAGTTCGCGCGCATACTGCATACTGCGCATACCGGCATGCCTCTGGGAACAACTGTGCTCAGTTTCCGCTCTGTAGCTCACCTGTACGGTTCTGCTCTGTGCTTTAAAAATGTTTAAGACTATCAACTCACCCTCCGCATGTGAGGTTCGCTCAGTGATACGGTTTTTGTCTGCCTGCTGCAGAAATTCATCGACAGATTTGTGAAGTGTGCGGTGATACTGTTATGAGTGAAAGCAAAGTGTGTAAGTGGGTACGACAATTCAAAGATGGCCGTGACAACGTCCATGATGAGGACCACTCCAGTTGCCCTTCTTTGATTACAGTGAACTCTTGGTTATCGGAGCAGTGCGTAAGTGGGTACAACAATTCAAAGATGGTCATGACAACGTCCATGATGAGGACCGCTCCGGTCACCCTTCTTTGATTACAGTGAACTCTTGCGTAAGTGGGTTACGCAATTCAAAACAATTCAAAGATGGCTGTGACAACGTCCATGATGAGGAGTGCTCCGGTCGCCGTTCTTTGATTACAGCGAACTCTTGGTTATCGGAGCAGTGCGTAAGTGGGTACGACAAATCAAAGATGGCCGTGACAACATCCATGATGAGGGCCGTTCCGGTCGCCCTTCTCTGATTACAGTGAACTATTGCGTAAGTGGGTATGACAATTCAAAGATGGCCGTGACAACGTCCATGATGAGGGCCGCTCTGGTCGCCCTTCTTTGATTACAGTGAACTCTTGGTTATCGGAGCAGTGCGTAAGTGGGTACGACAATTCAAATCAAAGATGGCCGTGACAACGTCCATGATGAGGACCACTCCGGTCGCCCTTCTTTGATTACAGTGAACTCTTGGTTATTGGAGCAGTGCGTAAGTGGGTATGACAATTCAAAGATGGCCATGACAACGTCCATGATGAGGACTGCTCCGGTCGCCCTTCTTTGATTTCAGACAATTTGGTGGCTTCAGTTGAAGCGAGGGTATTTTAAAATTGGTTCAGAGGTATGATAAGTGTTTGAACAAACTTGGCAACTATGTCGAAAAATAGAGTGAAGTATGTACTGTCTGAAAATAAATTTACTTTTTTGAAATAAGCTTTCGTTGTGTACTTATGTTCAAACGGACCTTACTTAAAAAATACCCCTCGGACATAGATGTTCCTGAGTGCTCTGCTTTTGAAAGGATGTACAACATTGACTCAGGCACTACAACTTTGTCCTGGCCAGAGAAAAGGACACGTGTGATGAAGTTTCTGGCACATAAACAAAGTTTTTGCCTTCTACTCAAGTGTCACCATATTTTAGGAACCGACCAATCAGGAACAAGGATCTAAAACCCAGGAACAAACCTAGATAAAAAAATCGCGTGATTGCAAGGACATTCAGATATGCGAGGATCTGCATATTCAGCTCCAAACCTGGAAATCTCGCGTTTTAGCCTTTTGTAGCGATTGCTTCCATGTTTACAGGGAATGGCGTCTGGCCACACTTCCTGTTTGCTATGGAAGCTCCTGGGATAAAGATATTGTCTGGATGGGGCCCAAGGTATCTACAAGGTTGAAAAAGTCCTCTCTTCTCGGGCACCGAGGCCAAGAAGAACCAACTCACACTGCAATATCTGGTGCTTTCAGCATCAAAAACATGGCTTGGAAACTACAGGGACAAACAATTAAAAAAATCACTAAAAGACATTTTGCCAAACTGAAGAAGGCACTGTTAAGTGATTCAGGGAAGTCAAATGAGTCTCCTTGGTTTTAAACTTGGAATCCGTTTCCATTATGCAGACAGAGCAACGATAGTTGGGTTGTTGTGTGTTTTTCCGGATTGTCTGACCATGTTCCAGAAGCATTCTCTCCTGACATTTCGCCTGCATCCTCAGTGGTTGTGAGGTCTGTTGGAAACTAAGAAAATGGGGTTCACACCTACCTCAAACAGATAAGGATTCTTTCCCCACCCTGGACATTATTCCACAGATATACAAACTAGGCTTGGGCGGTTTCGTTCGTTAATTTCGTAATTCGTTACTAATTCGTATTTAAATTAGCTTACGATCCAATATTGAGCCATGCAGGACTACTGTGAGGAGTAATTAAAAATGGAAACAATTTTTCCAATTTATTTCGTATTGTTTCGTAATTGTTTCGTAATTGGTTCGAAATTGTTTCGTAATTGTTTCGTAATTATTTCCATATGTCTGGTGCAAGTCTTATAGTTGTTGTTTGTTTTATCAGTGATAAAAAATAAATTATCACACCAACAGTCAACAACAGAGGGAGAGGGAAGCTTCAGAAGTTCCCCCTGTCCCATTTGGAGGTTTTTTTTAGCATATTGCGCAATCGCGTCTGTCATTAACAAATCGATTCGTAATTATTAGGGCTGTCCAAACACGGAAAAATTTGTTTCTAAACTTGATTCGTTTTTAGGGGTTTTTTTGCGTTTCGTTATTTAAAAGAATTCCGAAATTTTCCTTTAAAAAAGTTCGATATTTATGAAATTTCGGAAATCATAAAACAATTACGAAACAATTACGAATCGATTACGAATCGATTCGTTAATGGCGGCCGCGATCGCGCAATACGCTAAAAAAAACTTCTGAAGCTTCCCTCTCCCTCTGTTGTTGACTGTTGGTGTGATAATTATATTTTTTTTCACTGAGAAAACAAACAGCAACCCTAAAACTTGCACCAGACATGCGGAAATAATAACGAAACATTTACGAATCAATAACGAATCAATAACGAATCAATAACGAAACAATTACGAAACAATTACGAAACGAATTGGAAAAATTTGTTTCGTTTTTTATTTGCTCCTGAATGGTTCAATATCGCTTCGTTATCCAAAAAAAATAACGAATTTTTAACGAATTACGAAATTACGAAACGAAACCACCCAGCCCTAGTAATTATACAAAATTTCGTAAATTTTGAAATTTTTAAAAGGAAAATTTCGGAATTCCTTAAAAAAAACGAAACGTGATGGACCCCTAAAAACGAAACGAGTTTAGAAACAATTTTTTCCGTTGTTACCCAGGCCTAATACAAACCCTATTTTCCTAGTTTCTAACTGACCTCACAACTTCTGAGGATGCCTGCCATAGATGTAGGCGAAACGTCTGGAGAGAATGGCTAGATAGCCCGGAAAATACACAAAACACGCAAAAACCTAGTGATTCTGGCCATGAAAGCCTTCGATAATGCATAGAGCAATGAGACAACTGTAACTGCCATGGCTCCATCCTACGGGACTCTGGGATTTGTAGTGTCGAGAAGTCCTTGGGATTTTCTGCCAGAGGGCTCTAGTATTGCAGAGGAGAAAGAGCAGAACTAGAGCTCTCCAAAAGAAAAGTCAGAGCGGATTTTCACCAAATGACTTGGGATTCTGTAAGGAGTTTCCATGGAAGTTAAAGTGGTGCAAACTGGGATAACTGGGATCATTCTTTGCAATGGAACGCCTTCCAAAAAATGGAAAAAATATTACCGCACGATTCGGACTTAAGAGGAGCAACGTAGCCAAAGGAAGTCTGAGGATTGGGAAGAAGGAGGTCGGTTTGTCTTTTGAGATACATTGAACAGACAAAGGTACAGAAATCACAATACATGGCAGCTTGGCATTTGGAAGAAAAAAAACCAAGTAACTCATCACAGTTTTAGAGGCAAAGAAATAAAAATCCAAAGGAAGTCAGGAGGGGGGAAAAGAAGAAAAAGAAACACGTCGTAAAGGGGCAAAAACCGATTCCGAATTCACCCTTTCGGCTCTTTTTCTTTCGCCCGTCCCTCCGTGAGCGTTTCAAAACAAATACTGAGAATTTGGCTGCTACAAAACCAACTTGCAAAGTAGTTGCTCTTGCAAGGCAATAATATCTACACTGACTTATATATTTTTCTCCTGGGGACAGAAAGGGGAACCCCAAGAGAACCGATACAATCTCTACGAAAGACCTTTAAGTAGCCAGCTAAGGATTATCTGCTTGTTTTGTGTCCATTAATAAAATCATGGCAGGAAATATAATCCAACTATTAGAGTGCTATCAAAATGTCTTACTGCTGGAGGAAAAGTACAAATCTCCAAATCAACTCGAAAGCAAGCTTTCCAGTCCAAGTTGCCTATCCTTTACCGACCGGGCACTCGCTGTTCCCCAGCGACGATCAAAGAGGTCCGGCTCCTCATAAGGAAAGGCTGGGCTCATCCAGTACCAGAAGGTGCTGCTGGTGGTGAGAAGAGTTTGTCCGCCCCAAAGGCATTGGGAGATTTGAGAAGGATGGCTTCAGATATGCGCCTCCATCGCGGGAGAGCCGGGAAGGAGCTCCCCGTTCAGCACCGTCTCCGACACCAACATCTTGTCCTTCCCAGAGTCCAGCCGCTTCTTCTTCAGCTGCCGTTGATGGATCAGAGGGACAAGGGCCAGGACCAGGCCTCCGATGATCGGAGGGATGCCGGCGAAGTAGAAGGCGAAGTGGTAGTTCCCAAAATGGTCGCGGAGGAGTCCTGGAAATGACAACATAAGGCAATTGTGGCCAACAGTCAACAGAAGACAATGGTGGTCAACCATCAATGGAAAACAAGGTGACCAACCATCAATCGAAGACAATTGTGGTCAACCATCAACAGAAGGCAATGACAGCCAACCATCAATGGGAGGCAATGATGGCCAGCTGTCAGTGATCAARCATCAATGAAAGACAATGATGGTCAACTGTCAATGGAAAACAATGGTGGGCAAACATCAATAGAAGGCAATGTGACCAAACATTAATGGAAGACAATGTTGGTCAAATGTCAATGGAAGACAATGCTGGTCAATTGTCAATGGAAGGCAAGGGTGGCCAGCCATCAATGGAAGACAATTGTGGTCAACCATCAACAGAAGGCAATGATAGCCAACCATCAATGGGAGGCAATGATGGCCAGCTGTCAGTGATCAACCATCAATGAAAGACAATGTTGGTCAACTGTCAATGGAAAACAATGGTGGGCAAACATCAACGGAAGACAAGGTGACCAACCATCAATCGAAGACAATGGTGGCCAGCAATCAATGGAAGACAATTGTGGTCAACCATCAATGGGAGGCAATGATGGCCAGCTGTCAGTGATCAACCATCAGTGAAAGACAATGATGGTCAACTGTCAATGGAAAACAATGGTGGGCAAACATCAATGGAAGGCAATGGTAGCCAACCATCAACAGAAGACAATGGTGGTCAACCATCAATGGAAAACAATGTGACCAAACATCAACGGAAGACAATGTTGGTCAACTGTCAATGGAGGACAATGGTGGTTAACTGTCAATGGAAGGCAATGGTGGCCAGCCCTCAATGGAAGACAATTGTGGTCAACTATCAACAGAAGGCAATGATAGCCAACCATCAATGGGAGGCAATGATGGCCAGCTGTCAGTGGAAGACAATAGTGATCAACCATCAATGAAAGACAATGATGATCAACTGTCAATGGAAAACAATGGTGGGCAAACATCAATGGAAGGCAATGATAGCCAATCATCAACAGAAGACAATGGTGGTCAACTGTCAATGGAGGACAATGGTGGTTAACTGTCAATGGAAGACAATGGTGGTCAACAGAAGACAATGGTGGTCAACTTTCAATGGAGGGCAATGGTGGTTAACTGTCAATGGAAGGCAATGGTGGTCAATGGAAGACAATGGTGGTCAATTGTCAATGGAAGGCAATGGTGACCAGCCATCAATGGAAGACAATTGTGGTCAATCATCAACAGAAGGCAATGATAGCCAGCCATCAATGGAAGGCAAACAATGTTGGTTAAACATCAATGGAAGCCAATGGTAGCCAACCATCATCAGAAGACAATGGTGGTCAACCATCAATGAAAAACAATGATGGTCAACTGTCAATGGAAAACAATGGTGGGCAAACATCAATGGAAGGCAATGGTAGCCAACCATCAACAGAAGACAATGGTGGGTAACTGTCAATGGAAGACAATGGTGGCTAACCATCAGTGGAAGACAATGGTAGTCAACCACCAACAGAAGACAATGGTGGGTAACTGTCAATGGAAGACAATGAAGCCAACTCCAAAAAAGATCTTGTAGGAATGTATCCCCATTGTGAAAAAAAACCCCAATTTTTGCCCCCAAAGACCCTCTAAGGTGGTTGAAGGGTATTCCTGGCATGCTTTTAGTACTTTCACCCGCCCAAGGGGAATGTGCCTCCTGGACACCTGGAAAACCTTAGTCTCATTTCTCATCCTCACTCTGTGTGAGTTTGCTTACCTGCGATTGGGGGACCTGCCGTCATTGGAATGGCCATAAGTCCAAGGAGATAGCCAATGGCTTGAGATGCCTGCATGGGACCCACCAACTCAAAGGCGATGGGCGCCATGATGGTGATGAAGAGCCCATCACAGAGTCCAAGGAAGAGGCAGACGACAATGACACCCCAGAACTCTTGGCACTGTGGGAGCATCATGCACATGATGCCCAAGACGATGAAGGAGGCAACCTAAAGCAGGAAAAAGCATATTGAGAAGTCAACACGGAGCAAATCCACACATTCCAAAGAAGCTTGTCCATGTTCTACAGCTACTCAGATATCACTGGTGTTAAATCCAATTTGGCTTTTTATCCAACTTTTAGGGGAGCGGACCAAGTACTGGACCTAATTTAGGGAGAAGATTGAGAACCAGCTCAAAATTGGATTCACCTTCACCACCACCCCAAATGACATAGTGGCCACCAGCTGTCCTGGGTGGTCAAGCATGTGGATCCATGCACTTGCCACCCGAGGCAGCTGCCTCACTCAGGTCCGTTGTACAACTGTCCTGGACCAGCCTTCTTTCTTCTCATGGCTGGTGACCTCCCTCCTTCCCCAAATCATAGAATCCTAGAATCAAAGAGTTGGAAGAGACCTCCTGGGCCATCCAGTCCAACCCCATTCTGCCAAGAAGTAGGAATATTGCATTCAAATCACCCCTGACAGATGGCCATCCAGCCTCTGTTTAAAAGCTTCCAAAGAAGGAGCCTCCACCACACTCCGGGCAGAGAGTTCCACTGCTGAACGGCTCTCACAGTCAGGAAGTTCTTCCTCATGTTCAGATGTAGTTTGAAGCCATTGCTCCATTGCGTCCTACTCTCCAGGGAAGCAGAAAACAAGCTCGCTCCCTCCTCCCTGTGGCTTCCTCTCACATATTTATACATGACTATCATATGTATTGTCGAAGGCTTTCATGGCTGGAATCACTAGGTTCTTGTGGGTTTTTTCGGGCTATAGGGCCATGTTCTAGAGGCATTTCTCCTGACGTTTCGCCTGCATCTATGGCAAGCATCCTCAGAGGTAGTGAGGTCTGTTGGAAATAGGACAATGGGTTTATATATCTGTGGAATGGCTGGGGTGGGGCAAAGAGCTCTTCTCTGCTGGAGCTAGGCGTGAATGTTTCAACTGACCACCTTCATTAGCATTTGAAGGCCTGCCTGAGCCTGGGAAAATCTTTTGTTGAGAGGTGTTAAGATGTGCCTGGTTGTTTCCTCTCTGCTGTTTTGCTGTTGTAATTTAGAGTTTTAATACTGGTAGCCAGATTTTGTTCATTTTCATGGTCTCCTCCTCTCTGTTGAAATTGTCCACATGCTTGTGGACTTCAATGGCTCTAAAATTACAGCAGCAAAACAGCAGAGAGGAAACAACCGACCAGGCACATCTTAACACCTCTCAACAAGAGATTTTCCCAGGCTCAGGCAGGCCTTCAAATGCTAATGAAGGTGGTCAGTTGAAACATTCACACCTAGCTCTAGCAGAGAAGAGCTCTTTGCCCCACCCCAGCCATTCCACAGATATATAAACCCATTGTCCTATTTCCAACAGACCTCACTACCTCTGAGGATGCTTGCCATAGATGCAGGCGAAACGTCAGGAGAAATGCCTCTAGAACATGGCCCTATAGCCCGAAAAAACCCCACAAGAACCTAATGACTATCATATCTCCTCTCAGCCTTCTCTTCTTCAGGCTAAACATGCCCAGCTCTTTAAGCCGCTCCTCATAGGGCTTGTTCTCCAGACCCTTGATCATTTTAGTCGCCCTCCTCTGGACACATTCCAGCTTGTCAATATCTCTCTTGAATTGTGGTGCCCAAAATTGGACACAATATTCTAGGTAATGTGGTCTAACCAAAGCGGAATAGAGCATGGGGAGCATGACTTCCCTAGATCCTTCACTATGCTCCTATTGATGCCCCGTTTCCCCCGCAAATATTAATTACTTGGCACCAGGGAGGCTCTTGCCTGGAACAACATGTCCCAGAAAAGCAAGACCGTGCGGACAAGGCTGGATTTCACGAAATGAACATTTCTTGGAAACCACAAAGACAGCTGGAAAGCAAGAAGATCTCCCCTCGGCCTTTGAGCAGGCAAACCAATTGTGCGTTAACCGCATTAGAAGACCTCATTACAGGACTCTGAAAGGTTGCCCTGAACATGCATATTTCTTTCTGGTGTTTCAAATCCCCAAAACTCTCTGCCAGGGTTGCAAGATGAATACCCTTCTCCCTCCTTAGCAGCAAGTGCCAGGTTCAGGCGCAGGCCAAAAACAGGGAGGGTCGATGTGTGGAGAGATCTAGCACACCATGTTCCCCTTCGACTTTGCTTGAGGTCCTGCAGATGCTGGAGGCACAAACTATAGAGCCTCAGATAAATCGAGAGTGTTTGGGTCAGCACCAGAGAACACAACATGGAGTAGTAGTTTGAGTGTTGGACAGTGACTCCGGGTTCGAATTTTCACTCAATCTTGGAAACCCACTGGGCAAACTTGGGCAAGTCCCATTATCTCAGTCTCAGAGGAAGGCGGTGTCAATGCCAAGAACCTTCTGAACAAATGGTTGTTGTAGGTTTTTTCGGGCTGTATGGCCATGTTCTAGAGGCATTCTCTCCTGACGTTTCGCCTACATCTATGGCAAGCATCCTCAGAGGTAGTGAGGTCTGTTGGAACTAATAAAAAGGGTATATATATCTGTGGAATGACCAGGGTGAGACAAAGGACTCTTGTCTGCTGGAGCTAGGTGTGAATATTTCAACTGACCACCTTGATTAGCATACAATGGGCTGACTGTGCCTGGAGCAAACTCTTGTTGAGAGGTAATTAGATGCATTTTATTTGAGAACACAGAAATGCTGGACCACTCTCACAACCACCATGTCATTGAAATACACAAGTATGTGGACAATTTCAACAGAAAGGAAGAAACCAGGAAAATGAACAAAATCCGGCTACCAGTATTTAAAAAAACTCTAAAATTGCAACAGCACAACAACAGAGAGGAAACAAACAATGTTCATTTCATGGAAGTCCTGTATGCCATGTTTGGTTGAATTCCACCATTGGTGGAGTTCAGAATGCTCTTTGATTGTAGGTGATCTATAAATCCCAGTAAGTACAAATCCCAAATGTCAGGGTCTATTTCCTCCAAACTCCATCTGTGTTCATATTTGGGCGTATGGAATATTTGTGTCAAGTTTGGTCCAGATCCATCATTGTTTGAGTCCACAGTGCTCTCTGGATGTAGGTGAACTACAACTCCCAAACTCAAGGTCAATGCCCACCAAAACCTTCCAGTGTGTTCTGTTGGTCATGGAAGTCCTGTATGCCATGTTTGGTTGAATTCCACCATTGGTGGAGTTCAGAATGCTCTTTGATTGTAGGTGATCTATACATCCCAGTAAGTACAAATTCCAAATGTCAAGGTCTATTTCCTCCAAACTCCATCTGTGTTCATATTTGGGCATATGGAATATTCATGCCAAGTTTGGTCCGGATCCATCATTGTTTGAGTCCACAGTACTCTCTGGATGTGGGTGAACTATAATTCCCAAACTCAAGGTCAATGTCCACCAAAACCTTCCAGTTTTTTCTGTTGGTCATGGAAGTCCTGTATGCCATGTTTGGTTGAATTCCACCACTGGTGGAGTTCAGAATGCTCTTTGATTGTAGGTAAACTATACATCCCAGTAAGTACAAATCCCAAATGTCAAGGTCTATTTCCTCCAAACTCCATCTGTGTTCATATTTGGGCATATGGAATATTCGTGCCAAGTTTGGTCCGGATCCATCATTGTTTGAGTCCACAGTGCTCTCTGGATGTGGGTGAACTATAATTCCCAAACTCAAGGTCAATGTCCACCAAAACCTTCCAGTTTTTTCTGTTGGTCATGGGAGCCCCGTGTGCTAAGTTTGGCCCAATCCCATCATTGGTGGAGTTCAGAATGCTCTTTGATTGTAGGTAAACTATAAATCCCAGCAACGACAATTCCCAAATGACAAAATCATATATTTTTTTGAGTGGAGGACATAAATTGGACTATTAGGTGTCTTGTGTCCAAATTTGGTGTCAATTCCCCCAGTGGTTTTTGAGTTCTGATGGTAGCACGAACTAACATGACATTTTTATTTATATAGATATAGCGTCCCTACTTTGGGGCTTTTCACTTTTCGCTGGTGGTCCTGGAACATTACACTTGCGATAAGCGAGGGAACATTGTGCGTGCATTGTGGAATATCTTTTAGATGTGGCCCAAATCGAAACACAAAATTCATTTATGTTTCTTATAAGGTAATGCCTGGAGTTGTGAGGAGAGACAGGCAAGAAATAAATAAGAAATATTAAAAATTAACTAGGCATGTTTAATTACAAAAATGTGAATAAAGCACTGAAAAGGTTAAATGGATGCAAAATGCAAAAGTTCAATATAAGCAACTGTGCCTGTAGCTTAGTACGCCTCAGTGTTAGTTACTAGGCTTGGGCGGTTTCCTTCGTTAATTTCGTAATTCGTTATTAATTCGTATTTAAATTAGCTTACGATCCATGAGCCATGCAGGAATAGTGTGAGGAGTATAAGAATCGAAACAATTTTCCCAATTTTTGTAATTATTTCGTAATTATTTTCATAATATAATATAATAATATATAATTTATAATACAATATATTATAATAATATAATATACAATAATATAATATTATAATATATAATAATAATATAATATAATAATATAATATAATAATAATATAATATTATAATATAATATAATATATATAATTAAAATAATAATATAATATAATATAATATAATATAATATTAAATATAAAATAATATAATATAATAATATTAATATAAATAATAATATAATATATAATAATATAATAATATATAATATATATAAAATAATATATATAATATATAATATATAATATAAATATATAATAATATAATATAATATAATATAATAATATAATATAATATATAATAATATAATATAAATATATAATATATAATATATAATAATAATATAATATAATAATATATAATATAATAATAATATAATAATATAATATAATATAATAATATAGTAATATAAAATAATAATATAACATAATATACAATAATATAATATAATATTATAATAATATAATATAATAATATATAATATAATAATAATAATATAATATATATAATATAATATATTATAATAATATAATATACAATAATATAATATAATAATATTATAATAATATAATATAATAATATATAATATTGTAATATTATAATAATATAATATAATATATAATAATATAATATAATATAGTTGTTGTTTGTTTTATCACACCAACAGTCAACAACAGAGGGAGAGGGAAGCTTCAGAAGTTCCCCCTGTCCCATTTGGAGGTTTTTTTAGCATATTGCGCAATCGCGTCCACCATTAACGAATCAATTCGAAATTTACGAAATTTTGTAAATTCGAAATTTTTTAAAGAAAAAATTTGGAATTCTTTAAAAAAACGAAACGCAATGGACCCCCTAAAAACGAAACGAGTTTAGAAACAATTTTTTTCCATTGTTACCCAAGTCTATTAGTTACCCTCAGTATGAAGAGACTTTAGTCTGAGAGAGGCCTCAGCGGGAGGTAAACCTCAATGTTAGTAGGCCTCAGTGTGAGGTAGGCTTCAGTGTGTGAGAGGCCTGGTGTGAGAAGCCCAAGGTTGAAAGCCTCGTGTGTAAAGTTCCAGTGTGAAAGCTGCTGTGTGTAAAACGCTACTGTGCGAAGCTCCTGTGTAAGTTTGGTGTGAGAGGGAGCTTAGTGAGAGCAAAGCTGTCTATCTGCATGAGAAAGAAGCCCAGCATGGAAACAAAGCAGGAAGTATAAAGGACTTTATTTGGTAGGCCTCAGTGTGTGAGAGACCTGGTGTGAGAAAGAAGCCCAGTGTGGAAGCAAAGAAGGAAGTATAAAGAACTTTATTTGTGTTATGGAAACCTTGTTCTTGTAAGTAGTGTAACCATATTGTTTTGCTATAAAGAAAAGCCTCCTAAGGAAGAGATAACATTGGTCTGTGTGTGTTTTTGTTGTTGTTTGTATCACTTTTTAATCACAGCTGCTAATAACTTATTTTGCTATATGTTTATGAGGAGGGTCTGTTTTTAATAAGACACTCGCCCAACACTTCCATGTACCTGCAAGTAGATCTTCAGCCTCAGTGTTAGTTGCCCTCAGTATGAAGAGGCTTCAATCTGAGAGAGGCCTCAGTGGGAGGTAAACCTCCATGTTAGTAGACCTCAGTGTGAGGTAGGCTTCAGTGTGTGGGGGGCCTGGTGTGAGAAGGCTTTGGTGAGAGAAGCCAAAGGTTGAAAGCCTCGTGTGTAAAGATCCAGTGTGAAGGCTGCTGTGTGTAAAAAGCTACTGTGTGAATCTCCTGTGTAAGTTTGGTGTGAGAGGAAGCTTAGTGAGAGCAAAGCTGTCTATCTGCATGAGAAAGAAGCTCAGCATGGAAACAAAGTAGGAAGTATAAAGGACTTTATTTGTATTATGGAAACCTTGTTCTTGTAAGTAGTACAACCATATTATTTTGCTATAAAGAAAAGCCTCATAAGGAAGAGATAACATTGCTCTGTGTGTTTTTGTTCTTTTTATCACTTTTTATCACTGCTGTTAATAAGTTACATTCCTATATGTTTATGAAGAGGGTATTTTGTTAGTAAGGCCACTCTCCTAACACTTCCTTGTACCAGCAAGTAGATCTTCTTCAAAAGCAAGTAGTTGCCCTCAGTGTGAAGAGGCTTTAGTCTGAGAGAGGCCTCAGTGTGAGGAAAACCTCAATGTTAGTAGGCCTCAGTGTGTGAGAGGCCTGGTGTGAGAAAGAAGACCAGCATGGAGGCAAAGAAGGAAGTAGTTGCCCTCAGTATGAAGAGGCTTCAGTCTGAGAGAGGCCTCAGTGTGAGGTAAACCTCAGTGTTAGTAGGCCTCAGTGTGTGAGAGCCCAGTGGGTTTCCAAGACTGAGTGAAGATGTGAGAAAGAAGACCAGCATGGAGGTAAAGAAGGAAGTAGTTGCCCTCAGTATGAAGAGGCTTCAGTCCGAGAGAGGCCTCAGTGTGAGGTAAACCTCAGTGTTAGTAGGCCTCAGTGTGTGAGAGGCCTGGTGTGAGAAAGAAGACCAGCATGGAGGCAAAGAAG